TATGAAATAGAAAACTTTTTAAAGGCTTAGGCTGTGGACTCAAATTTGTTGGATTCTGTGCAAAAACTGGACAAGTCAGCATCTAGTCGGATTTAAACTTTGTGCGATGTGTTTTCCTTAAAGGAAACAATTTTTTTATTATTATGGGGAGCGCTAAACCCGTAGGATTATACAGCGCCCCGTGGGGGGATGGAAGATATTCAGGCTCAATTCAGGGAACCCGGGGCACAGATCCAATTGCGTAGATCAAGAGCCCCTCACCACGTCAAGGAACCTCCCTTGAGGGGCTTAAAGGGAAAAAATCTCTAGTTAGGTTGTGCAAGTTACCAAGTTGACAGTTTTTTTTACTGACTTGAGTTTCCATGAGATAATGGAGTCTCTCTCTTCTGCTCAGTAATAAGCTGTAGTCTTTATTGATTTTATTGGGATTATTTTTGCTCAATTTTATGCAAATACTTTTTGGATCACATTTCTTCCTCATTTTGATGTTTGGTCCCGAAAAACTGAACCTCATGACCAGATCTTCATGTTTTTAGGCACTGAGGTGCTGCCATGTGATTGGCTAACTAGATATTTGCATCAGCGAGGTGTACAGGTGTGCCTAATAAAGTGGCCACTGAGTATATGAATATAATGGTTAAGTAGAGATTAACGGGTAATGTAAGTCAATGTTTCAACCCCCTTACTTTGACACAATGTGTGTCAACCTTACAACTTAACTGAATTACTTTGACTATTGCTCAGAAAATTAATAAAAGATCACTGATCATACTCAAGTATGATTATCATTACTGATTTTGGCTAAAATTACACCTAACAAATGTAAATTATCAACTGACCATTTTGACACTGTTAATGTATTGAAGATAATATTTTGGAGGGATGCATTCATATACAGTATAACAAGTCTGTATACTTAACAGCTGAACTACCGTGGTACAAACATGCCTAACCACCAAGACAATATTGCCAGAACACAGCAAAAAATGTGCACGAGTGTGACATGTAATAATACGCAAGAAAGCGATGGTGCAGTAAAGACAGCAGAAACCATCACACCACACCAACACATCAATAACCATTTGTTTCGAGGCTAAGCTCAGTAACTCGCCAGTTTTCCAAACGTGGCGTAACACACAAATCTAAACGAGTTTTGGCTGTAAAAGCTTGATTTTCTCACATCTTTAGAAGTGACTAAGTCAAGCTGCCACTAATTCCCAGAAATCTATTTTTATAATAATCATGACTAAGCGCTAAATCCACAAGGGTCATACAGCTCCCAAGAAATTTAGCCTAGTCATTGACACAAAGGGTCGGACTAATAGAAAACGTTGATAGCACCGCGCAGCTTAATTATGTGTGTAAATGTATGGGACAGAACCTAATAATTCCTGTTTTGAACTTGAGCAACCAGATATTTACGTTTGCTGAAGAATGCACAGGAAGGGGCCGTGCTGGGAAGATTAGTAATTACCAAGTGTTATTTAACAAAAGAAAATCATATCTCACCAACGTAAGTATGCGCTGCCACTGCCGGCTCCTCTAGTCGACCAACCCTCTCGCAGGACCTCACGGGTTTCCCTAGGAGACGAAGAATCTGCAAGTCGTTGGACACGTCAAAAAACACAAGGCATCGTAGGACCTCTACAAAAGGGGGTCAGAAAGCAAGCCCGCAGGACAGACTAATTCAGTTACAGGAGTGAGGGTGTAGCATAGGCCGCTACTCTTGCATAGCGAGCCACTTCATCAAGTTCGCAAGGTGTCCCCGCGCACACGTCCCATCTTTGGTCGCAGCTCAGGGAAGCGAAAACGAATGTTTTTCTCCCAAACACGTCATCATCTCTAAGGCACGAACATGAACCAATGAAAAGTGTAGTGGAGAGAGAAGGAAACCCAAAGCCAATGAGAATCTGCGTAATGCATTGACACAAGTGAACACTCGCCCGGTTTTACAAACTGCTGTTCCGGAGCATGCAAAATGCATAAACACTCCACTCTCTTTCTCTCTCAAAATATATATATATATATATATATATATATATATATATATATATATATATATGTATAAAAAATTTTATGTCCCTGCCGAAATGTAAAACTGGGCAATTAGCAAGAACTCATTTAAAATTAAGTCCTTTCTAAAATTTTCTCTTATCGTTTGAAGATATATTTTTTTCATTAATGTTAATGGTAATTTTTTTTAATTTTGCACCAAAAGAATCTTAGAAAACTTACCTAACCTTATAGAACAAGAAACAATTTATTTTAGCCTAACCCAACTAAATATATTTTTAGATTTGTTTTCAATAATTTAATACTAAACAAACACAATGAAATACATTTTTTTTTTCGTTAGGTTCAGAATGATTTTAGCGAAATTATTGCATACACAAATTTTCGCTTGTCCTATATGGCAAGATGAGCGTTTTCTATTTAAGCCAAGATCACAAGTTCTGCCTATTCGGCACGACACACACACACACACACACACACACACACACCACACACACACACCACACACACACACACACACACACACACACACACACACACACAACACACACACACACACAACACACACACACACACACACAACTATATATATATATAATATATATATATTATAAATATATATATAATATATATATATATATATATAATTTTGTTTATTTGTAAGTATTTTAAAATAATCCCCAACTTTAGCAAACATTGAACTCATATATTTTACTTCGCCTATTCTAGATTCAATAAAATTATTTAAAAGGTTTAATATAGGGGCTCACCCCCACGTACCACCTATCTTTTGTATAAAAGGGGATCTCATTATAGCCCTTACCTAAACAGTGTCGTGTGTGTAGCTCAGCTCGCCAAGTACACCTGGTCGTGTGTCTTGTGGCAACTTTGGCTTCCATTCCTCCAGAATTTAGATTACTACTACAGGATCTAGTCCACCTCATGTTAAAGAGCTTTCCTTTACACCGGTGCCTATATGGTTCAAAATTTGTACTCTTTATAAGAGATACTATTTATAAATTTTTCATCACTCTTCATTTGATTATTCTTTATTTAAAATTATTTTTTCTTGGGCATAATATTAAAGTATTAAAAATTTATTTCCATTTGAGTTATTCTTTTATTTACTTGATTAATGCTTCAGTTAAAATCCCGCCAGAACTCGTATTTAATTATACGAGTAACAGTATAATAATTTTTATTGATACACTGAAAATACGCAAGATCTATGGGTGAAATATATGAAATATAAGAAATGTTCCGTAGCTGGATTACTAGCGCACTCAGCTCACACACTGAGGTCCGGGGGTCGATCTCCGGTACTGGTGGGAACATTAGGACTTGATTCCTTAAAACACCTGCTGTCCATGTTCACTTGTCAGTAAAATAGGTACCTGGGTGTTAGTCGACTGGTGTGGGTCGCATTCTGGGGACAACTGACCTAATTTGCCCGAAATGTTCTGCATAACAAAGGGCTTTCTATATACGTATTTGTATGTCAATGATGTCAGCTGTGGTCTGTATACCTTGTATATGTACTTGAGATAAAGATTTATATTTATTATTATTAATTATTTTTTATTATTTATTATTTTTATTAATATTTTTAGTTTATTCTCACTTGATCTCCGTGGGGGGATTTCAATTGTGGCTGCCTCTTGCCATCTTCAATTATTAAAATGGGGAGAATTCCAACACATGTTAGGTAAATACACAGATCAAAAAAGTGACATTTTTATTTGGCAAAGTTTCGTTTAGGCTTTTTCCCGGGTTTAAGGGAATTTAGCATTTACTATTTATGGGTTTTTTAAAATTTTGAGAGTTTTTCGACTTAGTTGATATTTTTTTTTTTTGTGTATTTTTGAATGTTTTAAATTGTGACGTGTTTTGTTTTACTGTGGTGGGGTTTTAAGCTGAGTGTGATAGTGTTTTTTTATGTTTTTGGGGTTATTGGTTTTAAATGATATTTATCTTTTTTTTTATTGTATTTAGGCTTTTGAGTCTTAGTGTGGTGGGTTTGCTTTGATTGTCAAAAATCAAACATTGCGA